TAGTGAGGGCACCAACGCGAGAATCTTGCTGGGTCTGGTGACGCATGTTGAGGTTTACATTCTGAACCAACTCATTATCAACAAATGAAAACCTCTTACCTGATCGCAGACTAATTCCCATTTCTTTTCATTGTCATATTGACTCAACAGCTTCAGTTTGTCTGGAGGCAAGTTCATGTAGCTCTGAAAGAGAGAGAAAAGAGAAAAAGGTTGTTTTAACCTTAATTGAGCGAATGCATTTTAGAGTTTGTGATTCGGGATTAAAAGAAAATTTGTCACGCTTCATTTTAACACACTCAGTTTTGTCCTGCACTCAACTGTTATACTGTATGTTGTAATTGCTTTGTATTTCCTCCTTATGCAACAATATTCAAATCTCCAAAACCACAAATGCGCAAAGTTGGTGCAAAGCAGAAGGGTGGTGACTACCTGCTGGAAGCACAGATGACTCAGTGTTTACATGTATGTAGTGACGGTTGTCAATAGGTACTATGTGCCTAGAAACATATACAAATCTGGGACATAAAAAAGAAGTTATTAAGATATACTTAAAGCTAATATGGATGTAATTTGATGGTATGTCAGATTTTGCAAAATACAAGCTTTGGTAAAGATGTTTGTAGTGTTTTATTCCACTTTAAACCACATTTTATTTGTTTGGGTTTTTTAGTTTGACCAAAGTTTACACAGAAGCCGTGGCATTTGTTTACATGTCAACTATCTAATAACATTATCACAGCCTCATCTATCATAAATGGTACGCTATTCCTAGTTATCGTCTCAGCTGCGTACTTTACCCAGACTAAGAGCCACCAAGCCACCTCCACAAATTTTTCAATTCAGGTTGACTCAACCGTCTGAAGGGGTGATATATTAGTGGCCCAAAAGGACAGTTTCAATTTGAGTTATCTTCCGTCACCTACAGGGAAATGTCTGGAGATATAAAGGTTATTTCCCCATTCGAAAGGTCTTAAGAACTGAATGAATTGTGAATCTAAATTAAGTCTTTATGAATGACTCTTAATCAATCAGTGGAGAGTGGAGAGAGAAAAAAAAGACAAAAAGTTATTAAAAAGGAGCAGAATTGGAGCAAAAACACTTAAGTCAGAGAGGTAACGTGCTTTCTTTGACAACTTATTAACTGTAGAAACATATTCCTATATGTGTTTTGTTTTGCTTTAGGTTTATTTTTATACAATTCACCCTTCCTATCTCTGATTAACATTGGATCCAAAACACAGTGATGACTACTTTACTAACAAGACAAATAAGTTCAGTTGACACATGGGTGTGGATTTTGAATCTGCTTGTGTCTGTACATTCAAGTAGCAGTTTGCTTTTTTTTCACACATTTAAAAAAAAGAGACACGCTAACAAAGAGAAAAAAAAAAAAAAAAAAAAGGAAATGGCACATTGCCTTGGTGCTGAAGAGTGGAAGTTTCACTCTTGATGGTGTAAGGGAGGGGTCCTAAAGTGGGTTTGGTGGTGCAGCACTTATCAAAGAAGGGTCATGTAAGTCACTGTCTCATGCACTTACATGAACATAAATATCCCTCAGTTTAGAAACAGTGTAGAATTGAAGAACTTCGCTCCACTTCTCGTTTCCCTGCAGAGGTGGTGATGTAAGCATTCAAGTCTCAATATGGATGCTTTATGGAGTGGCATCTGTCTTAAAGACGTTAGAAGTATTTTGCTGAAAACAGAAGTGAGGTCATACTTTCATGTAGCGCCTCATGGGTGTAGCAGGCATGAAGCAGCACAAGCCATCTTTGTTCATTTTCTGAGAGAACATGAGACATGTTGCACAAATGTCGTGAAAACATTAACCCCAAAGCCACACCACATTCTCTCGTTGTTCCATATAATAATGTTTCTGTTACGTAAAGGAGCTGTGTCAACTTACGTAACAATAAGGCAGAATTCTATATATTTATCAAGTACTTTTACTAAAAGAAGACTGTAATTCAAAGATAAGTTGTAGAATTTCCTTGCTGTTTTGTAATTATTAGTTACTACTTGTATTTTAGTAACAATAAATGCCACAAGTCCTGCTTTCCTTTGCCCTACATTAAAAAAAAAAATTTAACGTTAAGCGTTAGTTTTACCGAATTGAGCGAGCAAAGTACACAATTCAATTTTTTTGAAAGGACTTCACATTTCAACTAAGGTAAATGTTTCCTGAAGAAGTAACCTGGCTGCATAAAAAGAGAAGTTCATTCAGTTTTTGCTTGTCATTCTATGTAGCCTGAGCTACGATTTAGGTTTGTGCAACTCAAACGTTTTGTTGATTGCGAAAACCACTTGCTGATTTGTTATCTTTTCAGCTTCACGTCTGTCACCCCAACTCTTTATTTTTAGTCTGAGGAACTCAGATATTTGTGCAAACAACAGAAATCTTAACTTCCCTAACTATAGATTTTAAGACAATTCCTTTGAAGTTGAACATGCTTTTTTTTATTTTTGTTTTTCCTGTGCAGACAAGTTCATCACATGCCACCAGAACGGCGTGGCGCTGATTTTCCAAGTCTCTGGAACATTGCTAGAGGTGTAAACGTCAATTATTGCAGAAGGAAGTCATTCATGTGGTGTTTTGATGATGTTGGTGGAAAGCTTTGTCCAACAGGTTGGTCTAAAATCTCCTGTAGTTGTTTGGTTGGGTTGAGGCCTGTTGACTGTGAAGGCCATAGCATGGGATTTACATTATTTTCATACTCACCATTCAGTGACCCACTTGAGTTCTTGTGGATGGGGTTATTGTCATCTTGGAAGAAACCACTCAGAGGAACTTTGCAGGTGCAATTGCCCCTAATGGGACTTGTTAACCTAAACTATGCCAGTAAAATGTCCCCCACAGCTTAACAGACCCACTGGATCCCCTCAGTGTAATGGTCAAACATCAGGATTTTACTTCTGTATCTCCTGGGGTAAGATGTCTAATATTTCATTTTATTTTTGTTCACTCAGTTGTAAACATTTTTCTTTTTGTTTCGCTCATAATTTAAGCAGCACAATCTGGACGCTTCATGGTGTTCTTCAGCATATCTGATAAGCCATGCTGTTATTCCTCTATGGAGCATTATAGAAAAGCAAAGATGAGAATGTTTTTTTTTTTCCAGTGAGCAAAGTCATAAAGTGAACTGAGCTCATTTAGGCAAACAAAAAACTTGATTATTGAGGTTGAAGAAGTAAAACCTGTTCTTTTTTAACCCACTGATGGTTGAACTGTATCAGCATGACACCAGGCTTTTAAATCCTGTTTCTATCCGCATCACTTTTTTTGACCTTTTTATGCTCATTAACATGAATTATGCCACCTTCACAAAAAAAACCCTGATCTTATCTTTAGCTGAACATTCTTCTACGTCTAAGTCTAATAAATTACTTCTGTTTGTTGTTAAATACAAATGTGTGCCAAAAATAATGCTGTCTGAGATATTCAATACAAAGTACTAATCATGGGATTTCATGCCTTCCAAGTTGTTGTAAGACTGGTGAAAGAATGGTGAAACAGTTGTTTTCCGGTCCCGCGTTCTCTCTCATGTAAATATGTGTTGCACAACTTCCCCCTTGGGGCCAGCTGCCCATGCATGCAACTAATCACACTGTTCCTAGCCTGAAATTTTCCAATCAAGCAGAGGGGCAGAAGTATATTAACGAATGTGACGACTTGTTGATAGCATTGTTTTTACAGCGACATCTGTACCTTGAATGGAACAGTCATTAATAACCTTTGTGCAAATATATTAGGACAAAATGAAAAGTCATTTGACTCTCTGCTAGATGACATTTTGTAACGTTTGGCTCTCTCTGCCCATCTGACAAATGACTTTAGATATTCCAAAAGAGTACAAACGGAGAAAGGCTGGCATTATATCCAGTCTGCATTAGGGTAAAGTGGGTTTTTGGCAGCCGCAGTGAGTTAGAGAGCAAAACAAGACTCAACACTTGTTACTTTTAACAACTTCGAATAACAGCTGATGAACTAGATGTAATTTCTTTTTTTGTGCTTCTGGATCATATTCACCAGCATAATCATCCCCATCTCCTGCTCCTACCACAAAATCTAATGCATAATCTGTGTGTTTTCAGATGCCATAAGTGTGTGTGCCCTCCCTCTGTGTAGCCACTCACCAGCACCACATTGAAGCGCTCCTCCAGCTCATCCTCTGGAGGCATTGGAAGTTTTGGGGGAGCCGGCTGCTTCTTCTGCAAGGTTGGTGTGGGGTCACTCATTGCTGGAGCTGCCCCGACTGAGTTCCTGCCCTCTCGGCCCTCAGCCGGTTCTTGCTCCAAGCCCCCTGCAGCCGCATTCCCCATCACTAATCTCCACAAGTAATCCAGGAGGAAAGCTTTACGCAAACACCTTCTTCTCAGAAATCAGTGTATTCCAAAACAGAGTGACAAAAGTTGATCACTCCAACTGATAAAAACAAGAAGGCCTCAATCAAATTGAGTCTTGGGCCTTCAGGTGGAGGAACACCAAGTCGCTGGTTTACCAAATCTGCCTCAGTCCTGAGGACAGGGCGGGTGATGAGAAAAGGTAGGTTGTCCTCATGCTTGCCCTCTCATTAGCCACTCTGTCTACAGGTACCTTTGAGAACAAGATAAGAAGCCTTGTTCGGACCTGCTACAACTCTAAGAAAAGACCTACCTCTGTCTCACCCTGTATCCTCTACCCTAGTTGACCGAAAACGCCTCTGGTGAGTGCAGCATAGAGGCCTGCGTGTGAGAGGAAGGAGCAGGGAGGGTGACACACTCTGTAACACAGACAGAAACCGCAGAAGCGCAAAAGCAGAAGAGTAACTTCCTGTGCATGACGGCAACAGAACCTTGGGTGGAGGACAGGGTGGAAGATAAACATTTTAACCGTTAGGCGTACCGTGCATGCAGTAGGTGGATGATGAGTAAGATAAGGTAGTATAGGAATGAAAGAAAGAAGAAAGAGTCCAGGGTTGGGCATAGTAACAGATCAGCAGGTGCAGATATGAAATTAAACAACAAGCTCTTCCCCAATTTATTATTCAACCATTTTCTCCACACTGGAGCGCTTCATTCTCCTGGGGCAAGCTTAACCTGGGCCTGGGGTTAAAGTTGTTTTGGTATTTTCCCTTTACCTGATTGCAGACTGTTTATTATCAGTCAGGTAAAGGTACATTTGATGTGACAAGAACTGTCAAACAGCGCCTCTCTGTGTTTGAAGGTAGGTACTGCATGTAGTGGTGATGCATTCAGGGTCTCCCCAGATATTGAAGTATCACTTCGACATTAGTAAATTGAACTTATTTAGTGTTCAATATCTTTTCGATGAGCGCATTGGACACGGATACTGTAACAAAACGTTCTTAGATATTTATTCAACCAAATATTAACTTTTACTATCAGCTGATTCAGTAACTTAAAATGTTTGGGTCAACGTGTGCCAAATTAGTTCTGTTGAGGTGACTTACGTTTTTTAAGATTTGAGTGATTATTTTGAGAGTACGCGAATTGTTACCATTATTGTTTTACTACGATACAGCTGGATCTGTAAGAAATCCTTTTTATTATTATGATTGTTATTATTCTTATATTTCATAGTGTTCCGGAATAGGAATTTACGTGAAGCACTTGAAGGCAGCAGTGCTATTAGTTATTTTGCATTCCAAAATGACGGACCCGACAACGTCTCCTGAGGACCACTGGAAAGTAAGTTAGTCGTATTTGTCAGCCTCGACTTTTTGCTGAATTCATTCGTGCGTGTGGTGTGTGAAAGCATTGATAAATGACAAACACCGTGCTGTCTAAACGTCAAAGTTTTCTAATGAGGGAACAGGGCTTTGTTAGCTTCACGGCTAGCTACCATTAGCTTGCTGACGTTTGGTAACGTTGTAAAACTGTAGCCGTGTGCTAGCTAGCTAGTTGGGTAAACAAAGCGTCCTGAAGGGGCAACTCGCGTTTCTCATGTAGAATTATTTTTGTGTAGAATAGGTCTTTACTCTATTTAACAAAAAAAGACTGCAGTCATTACAGTTTGAAAGTCTGTTGAAAGTAATTTATTAAACAGTGTAGCAGCAGAAAATGACATATTTGCGATGAAGAAATGGCTGTGCCCACTTTGCCTTGTCAGATAATAATGCAGCTGTTATTAATGGCAAAGCAGCTGTCTCACACTTGGTCTGTAAATGAACACCTCTGTGATATGTCATTAAAATGAAAGCTCCCCACTGTAGTCATGTCAGGGACCCCTAAATATAGCTGTTTATCTCAGCTCTCCTGTAGATGGTAAAATTTAAATTTTGTCCAGGGGCCCTGTTTTAATATGGTTGTAGATGGAGAGAGTGAAATATTGGATAATTTAACACCTTTTGTGGGGTTTTCCCACTGAAATCACTAGAAAAACTGGCAGCAGCTTTGGGAACCACAAATTAAAAGTGGTTATTGTGCTGTGGTGCCCTAGATCAAACAGTAGATTGGTGATTGAGGTACTTATTTCCTGCAGCGTTTACCCTCCTGTATACTTGAATTGGGAAAATCAGGGCAATGCTCTGTGGGGGTTTAAACAGACTTGCCACTTGTCTTTTGTCAGCATATATAGGGCAGCGCACATTTTACCCCTTGTTATCCCAGCCGCTCAGCCTCTATTTTCTCCTTTCTCCATCAACTGCTGTGTGGTGATGGCTCGGCAGACAGACGGCGCTTTCAGCGACGGTGGCTTTGACCCCAGTGAGTATTCAGTCTGTTCATATTTTGGCTTTTGTCACATTATTTTATATTAAGGCTATGCAATGGTGACCTTTCTGATCTCTACAATTATACAGTTGATGTATATCAGTTTATTTTCGGTCTTTCTGTCAACAATGTTTAATGTATACCCTCTTATTCTTTAGGTTTCTTCGCTGAAAGTGCTAGGAAGGGCACCGTCGTGTCCAGAGCCAACAGCATCGGCTCAACAAGTGCTTCTTCAGTACCAAATACAGGTATTGTGTTTTGCAGTGGAGAGGACTTGATATCGCTGATGGTTTTAAGAGATAGTTTGTGGTTGTGTGTGTGTGTGTTATGTTTAAACTGTGAATAGAAATGTTTTACTAATTTGACAGTGCCTCACCTCGACTGACTTCCGCCGCCACAATGCATACACTTGCATTTCAAATTCTAGACAATATTTTAAATTTGATTAACTTGACCAACAAAAAAAAGAGTCCTTTTTTTGTACATCACCATTATTCAAAGTAAAAGGACAATAGAAATCAGACACAGAGGTTGCTTCTGAAGCGATAGTGAAACTGTACAAAATCCACTCAAATAAAAGTAAACAGTAACTTATTAAAAATGTACCTTGATTGAAAGTAACATGGTTACTTTTTAACTTTGTGGTTTTCCAGTTGCTCATAGATTGTCCTGCATTGAGCAACGTTGCAATGTCAGTGAAATAAAAATGGGGATGGAATTTTATAACAAAATTGTGTTATAACAGGAAAGATTGTATTGTATTAAAATGTCGATTCCCATCATTTATTCACCTACACAGCAGAACCTCTGTCAGGTCTGAGCTCAAATAAATCAGTGAGCCAACAGATACTCTGTCAGTTTGATGGGTCATTTTGAATTTCATTGTGTTCCCAAATAGACGATGAAGACAGTGACTACAGGCATGAGACATCATATAAGGACTACAAGAAGGATCGACGGAGACAGGCCCACACACAAGCAGAGCAAAAGCGTAGGGATGCCATCAAGGTACGGCTACAGTGAACTGCAGTAGGACGTAGCTGTCTGACTTACCTCAGATGAGCCACACACTTTTTAAAGTTGTCTTCTTTTTCAGTAGTTGCTAATGGCTTGTTTCTTAACATTAGAAAGGATATGATGACCTCCAATCAATTGTACCGACCTGCCAGCAGCAGTCTGAATTTGCAGTGGGCGCCCAGAAGATCAGCAAGGCTACTATACTGCAGAAAAGTAAGATGTCTTCAACTGAAACTGTGTACACACTTGGAATAATTTGGTTTAAAATTCTGGCTACTTGCAAAGATTACCTTAGGTGCTGGACAACTTTGACTTTAAGGTTAGAGTGCAGATTTTCCCATTTATACAGAAATAAGTTCCCTTGTCATATTGTTTAATCCTCTAAGGCAGAGATCTCCAGCTCCGGTCCTTGTGAGCTACTGTCCTGCAGGTTTTAGACGTTTCCGTACTGTAACACACCTGACTCACATTAATGGATCATTAACAGACTTGTGTAGAACTTGACAACAAGCTGTTGGAGATCCATTAATATGAGTCAGGTGTGTTGCAGTATGGAAATGTCTAAAACCTGCAGGACAGTAGCTCACGAGGACCGGAGTTGGAGATCTCTGCTCTAAGGCAACCCACTCTGGAGCTGGTACATTTATGTAGAATAATTAATGCATCATTTGACATCTCGACCAGACCAAGTTAGTGACGGTCAGAGTTTTGAGAGTGCTGTGCAGTTTATTGGTTCAACATGTTTTTAAAACTGGAAGGAATCTTTTTTTTTTCTCTCTCTCGCTCTCTTTTCAGAGATAATCTTACATGCTTTCATTATACAATAAAACAAATGTAAAAATGTTGGATAAAATATCACGTAGAACAGATGTGTGTACTCTGGCTGGGGTTTTTTTTAATAAGAAAAAAAACGAAGAAGCAGAATTTTAGTATATAACAAATGGTGTTTGAGGGACAATTCCTGTTTATAGATGTTAGACTTTTCCCAATATACCTAAATCTGTGTGCTGTTAAAAAACAAATCCCTGACTGTTGTATTTTTTATTTTTTTTAGCAATTGACTACATCCATTTTCTTCATAAAGAAAAGAAGAAGCAAGAGGAGGATGTTTCCGTCCTAAGGAAAGAAGTGATGGCACTTAAGATCATGAAAACGTGAGATAGTCTGGTTCAAACTTTGTCAGCCAAACCACTTTTTCCATCAGACTTACTTTTCTTTTTTTTTTGCAAACTAGGACTTCCCCAATCCCTGTAAAGATACTTGCTGTGTTTGCATTTTGTAGTCATAAATAATCTGCATCGAGACAGATGAAAAGATGAATTTTAAAGAAATGCTGATCATGGACAACGAAAGAAAACTGATGAGTCAGACATGCTTTGATGGCATCACTGACAGAGTGTGTAGGCAATATCAGATTTAAAGTAAAAAATGCAAAGAATTGCCGTCCACATATAGAATGTTTAAGTGCTGGGTTAGGTTTTTTAATGCAACAATGCAAACCAATTCATCATAGTCATCGAAAGAATTCCTGAAATGTATTGTTTCTTGATGAAAGAGCCATTGTTTAAATTGTGGTAATGGCAGTAAACATGTTTGTTTCTTAATAGAAACTATGAGCACATCGTGAAGGCCCACCAGAACAACCCCCAGCAGGGAGAGGACCAGGTGTCCGACCAGGTCAAATTCAACATTTTTCAGAGCATCATGGACTCCCTTTTCCAGTCTTTCAGCAACTCTGTTTCAATGAGCAGCTTTCAAGAATTGTCAGCCTGCGTTTTTAGCTGGATTGAGGAGCACTGTAAGCCACAGGTAGGGAACATTGTTGATGGATTGTGGACAACACTTCAGCTCTTGTTTTGATGTTAAGCACTGCCTTGTTATTGTTGCGGTAACTGTGTTGTACTGCTTCTGTCCTTTCCTAGACGCTGCGAGAATTTGTCGTCGGAGTGCTCCGGCAGCTCAACGGTCAGCTTTATTGATTGAGGGAAACCTCAGGTTAACTCCCAGAAATTGACTTTGGGTTTACTCTGGCTTCTCAGTGTGGAGTAAAAACATCAATCAGCCTCAGGCCATGCCCCAGTATTTACACTCACTTCAACTCATCAGTGACTCCCTGGCTGCAATTGGATTACCTCGTCATTGAGCAGTTAGTATCATTTGCTGATCTCTTTTTGATTCTAAGTGTACATATGCAGCTGTACATAGATAGCTGAGTGTGTTTCAGCTCCGTCTGACTGTTATTCTTCAGGGAAAACACAAGAGTAAATGAAATAAATTTGAATACAACAGGCAGGCAGAATGGTGTGATGTACATCTAGGTGAAGTCAGTATCTGCAATAACTAGTTGCCTTTTTGAGATAAATCAAAATCATAATCAGTGTGGTCTCATAAGCAAGACTCTTCTCACTGATGTTATTCCTTCTGCTGCCTGTCTGCTCAACGAATGGACTTAAAGAGTCTACATCTTGTCCTCTGTCACATTAAGCATAAATTTGTAGCCTAATGTTGAACTAAAGGGCTCCTCTCAACCTCAGTGCACAAACATTCAGTCACTCCTGAGCCATAGAAGATAATAGAAAATATTCCATTACTGCACAATAACAATCACTTCGTCTATCATAAGCACACTATATGATGCTTCTTAAGTAGCTTTGTTGTGGCTGAGCGTGAGATTTATATAAATGCAGCTGTGACAAGTAGACAAAGATGCTGAATTGTGTTACGTGACATGCAGCATTAAGGTCCAATCGTTGTGCGTGGGTGTCACACAGACAGGCAAATGACAAACTAAAGGAAGAACTGAAGTGATTGAAGAAACAAGAAATGCTTGGTTGGATGTGGTCGTGCTGCATGGTTCAATTAGGTAGTTAACATCCCGTCATGCTCTGTGCAGTGTATAGAATGCTGAACAGGAGCAGGAGCTTGAGTCACAATGACTACTTACACTGCTCGTGTTTCAATAGGAACAGTGACTAAAGTGATATCTACGTTAAGATCTATCACAAAGTGTGGTTGAGTCGGGCACATTTGATGATCATGATGCACATGCAGTGGTACAGTATGTAAGGGGAAAAACAAAAGAGCAACTCAGGTGAAGGAACGTCAGTGTAGGATGTGATCAGACCGTCAGCAAGAAGAGTCTGTTGATTATTACATAGAGAAAGACATAACTGTAGGGCTGAAGTGCTTAAACACCTCTTTAGAAAGATAAATGCCAATTTGAGAGCATTCAATGGGGCACTGCTCTACAAACGTGGACAAAGTGATCTGGTTAGATGAGTCATCCTTTATATTTTGTGTGTGGCAGAGAGGCGCAGTGCAGGTCAGGAGCTGTTGGGGTCATTTCACTGGCATGGTGTAGGCTCACTGCAAATCAGTGCAAAGTGGTTCCAGTTATTGTTATTCTATGATGAAACTTTTCTATACTGACGGGAATGGTCTGTTCCAGGGTGACAGAGCTCCCGTCCATAGTGCACTAGAGGTCACGGAATGGTACGAGGAGGTTAAAAATGATGCCATTCATATGCTGTGGCCTTTGCAGTCATCAGATCTCAACACAATTGAACATCTATGGCATATTTTGGACTTAAGTGTAAGATAGCACTCTCCACCACCACCATCATCACAACACCAAACAAAGGGAATATCTTTTGAAAGAATCGTGTTTTACCCCTCCAGTGGCGTTCTAGAGACTTTAAAAAATAATGCCAAGGCACTTTGAAGCTGTTCCACTGTGCCGGTATATATAATATATAATATATATTTAAAATGTTAAGTACAACGTGTTGATTTCAATTAAAATTTCAGATTGTAATTTTTTTTTGTTGTTTAGTTTTTAGTTGTTTTTTTTTTTTTTACAGAGCGACTTCACTTGAGATTTCACTGATGTTTATGTCATCATAAATGCGGTTTACTTTTGTTGTCTGTGGCTTTTATAATCCGTTACAGTTCATTTCATACAGTGCAACTGTCACGACCTCTAGACACCATCAATCGAGACTGCACATCTTACGGGTTTCTGATGTGAACCACGGAGGTATATAGCTTTTCTGTACTGAAATAAAATAAACACTGTTGTGGCTTTAATCATCGAAGTACTGATTTTTTTTTTACCCCGTCTTGTCTTATCTTGTTGCTACAAGCTACCAACTCTCAGTGGACACTTTCTGAGCCATCAAACCTGCTTCTACAAAGATCATTTCTGATTTACACTGACAGAGTTGTAATTCAACTCTGTTAAATATTGAGGCTGTGGTTTGCAGTAGTTTTAATTGTACTGCATCATGTTGGAATGTTTCTAATTTAAATGTAATGTCTAGAATTGAAGTTACCTTTTGATTGTGTAAACAAAAACTTAACATTGCCTTTGTAAAGGTAGTTCATGGCTGAGCTGATACTGCATATTTGATTAAATTAGATGTGACAGATGTGCCTAAAAGGGGTTGTTGAATGTATATCACCTTCCACAGAGTGACGTCATCTCATGTAAAGAAATGTATTTAAAGCTGGAGTGGGTGGCTTTTGAGTGAATGTCTGGTCACACAATGCTAATTAAACCTGTCAGCACTATGTAAATCTGGATTTTGCAGTATACCTTAATGTTAAATCTGGTGTCTGTGTCGACTTTACCGCAGTCTCATTCATAGGAAGGATTACAGTCTATAAAAGCAGCTGTTTGACAAAAGGTCTGCACTGCAGGTTTAATGTTTTCTTTTTACTCAAACTTGTTAAACCTCCTGTGTTTGAAGGTAATTGAGAAACAGAAGAGTTTGGTTGTGAAATTACTGCTGAGCTTGAACGTCAGAAGTTAGCGTCATGAACATTTAATAACTTGGCAGTTATACAGCCAGAAAAAACTACAACCGATGATTGAAAGGAGAGAACTGGAGATAAACTATACTCATACTATTCACCTATAACCATGCTTTATACATCGTGGTTAAGTTGTATTTTCAAAAAAACTGACACAAACATGGACTTAAAGATGTACAAGAACAACAAAGGATGCACAGCTCTTAAAGCTTTAACGAATAACTCGACATTTATGGAAACGCATTACTTCAATGGCTTTAAAAAAGGGACACATTAAACCAGTAATGCCTCTTTTGTTCACAAACAACAGCTGTTTGTGTATTAATATACTTTCAGTTAAAATGCTGCTTCAAAATGTAGTAAATTTGTACAATTTATTCAAAAGAAAGGCATTAAATAAAGTATGTTATGGCTCAGACAGCTCTGATATATAATTACTTTCTTAGCTATGTACCACACTGATGTGGCAGCTGCGTTTTCTTGTTCAGGTCTTTGGAACGACCACCTTGCAGTCCTCATCAGTCTCCACTCCAGTTTCATCCTACAGGGAGACAAAACACCACAGGTGATGGCAGGAACTTCAGGTTTTGAAAGATGATTTAATTAGCTTCTTTGACTCACCAGGAATTCCTTTTTGCTCTTTGGGTATCCCTCCAGGATGGCATTTATCATGTCTGAAGCCTGACAGAAACAAAGCGCAGCAAATTTTAAGGACGTGCCTTTAAATGGGTGATCATGGGTGTGTATAAAACACCTTAACTATTTTTCTATGTAGTGCTTTTAGAATTTATTGCATCACGCAAACAAAATACATATTAAACATCTGGCTTTAGAGGAGCTTCTCATGGTTGACAAACTAACTGAAGAACATTTTTGGAACTCTACTGGGGGGTGAACACCATTCTTCTAAGAGACATTGCCTCATTTGTTGTTCTAGTGAGTATCTCTTATCGGTGTTCACGTTGCTTAAGATCTAGTGACTGTGGTCATAGCATGAAATTCACTGAACCATCCTGTGACCCCTGTGCCCTATGGATCGGAGCGCTGTCATCCTGGAAGAATCAGGACTGACATGTTCCATCATAGGATTAAGGTGATCACCCTGAACAACTTTGTGTTGATTTCCAATGAGCCTTTATCTCTACAAGGGACAAGTGGACCCCTATAGGCTAACAGAGCCACCAGATCCCCTCACAATATGGGACAAGGGTTCAGGTTTTTCTTTTGTCACTCATCTGCATAATTTCAACATGTGTTTAGTAAAAAAACAGACATTACCAGTCTCTTCCTCTTTCTCCACTCCTTGACGTAAACGTCTCGCTCTTTGTAAACCTGTAGATGTAAATATTGACAAATACCTCACTGCGCTGGAAATGGAGATAAACACCAACAGTAGTATATTCACTATAGGTGGTTTGCTGTCACAAGAAAACATGAAGGCACCTTCTCTTTTTCTTCTGGTGTGACATGATTTGCTGCTGACTTTATTTTCTCCAGACGCGCTCTGTATCCAGAACATTCTGTTTTTAGCTCTTGGATCTCGGACACCATTTCCTCTGTAGTGAGGGAGCTGTTCAGCTCCTTCAGCTCTGTTATCACAGATTTCACACACGGTTACACAACCTCCTCTTTTAAAGAAATGCAGTACAACAACAACAACAACAGTGTGGAGACGTGTGGACAAATCTAATGCAAACCATACACCGTATCAACCAGCAGCATGCTGTGGCCTAAAACTGTGCTCTGAAAAACAAATAGTGCCAGCGTGCACAGATCAGCAGTGTACTCCACCTGAATCGAGCTGTCTGCAGCTTTGAGTGAGGGACTGCACCTCTGCACTCAGCTCTGAGATCTGACAGTCCATTGCTTTCAGGTCTGCATCGTTCACATCTTTGAACTGAGCCTGTGGGAGAGATTAGTGGCTCTGGTCAGTTTCAAAATGAAAAATGCAAAATTATATGTGCGTATATTCTTGTGCACAGCAGGGCAACAGTCCAGCTAAACAGACTAACCTGATCTGCAAAATAAACCTTTTGTTTGCCGTATGTTTTCTCCCTTATCTTGCCCTCCAGAGCCAGCAGCTCCATGGCTTTGACCACAGCCTGGTGGAGGAAATGTGCAATCAATCAATATTTGTGTATTTGCCAGAGATGCATCTTAGACATCAGGGGTGATATGCCCCCCTCAGTATTTAAAGTAAAGCAAGTAAAAACATGAAGGAGTCGATCTACGGGACAATAAGTATTTGAAAGCAAAACAAAATAAGTGGCACTCTTCATATCACCTGGTGCCTGGATCTTGTGTTTGTCTTTGCAAAAATAATTTCTACAATAAACTGATGCAAATTTTAAAAAAGGCCCAAATTAGTGCATAAAAATAAATCAGGGGGTTTGACACTCACAAGTTCAGCTCCCCTAATGAATATTCAAACAGAACCTAAACCCATGTATTGATGCACACATTATTCTCACCGTTTTTCCCAACCCATGCTGCTTTTGTAGGTTGCAGAAGACATCCTGAGCACTGTAAGGACGGTTCTTCTCATTCAGATAGGCGAGGATGACTGACGCTCCTGTGAATGACAGCACGACAATCCGATCATAACAGGTAAGTAAAAATCACTATATTGCACTTAATAAATCAAAAACACGACTAAACATCACAACAAGACTTTTATACTATTTGTATTATTACAAAGGGTTTTCTTTGATTGGACTGTACATGTCATCTATCCTGAATGTTGTGTAGTCAGTGCTTTTGGGAAACAATTTACTCCCTAAACAATAAAACTGTTTTCTGTTACATTAAAAGAAACAACGAGCATATACGATGTATTTACGAAATAGTGGTTTAAAATAAATTTCGAGTAACCACATAAAAAACAACGGAGGTCAACATTAGCTTGTCTTATACTTAGTAGCTAACGTTAGCATAGAGCATTTTAGCTAAACTTTGTAATTTACTACCTGCGACATCTAACGAGCATCTTTTGTTCTATACCGGCGTCAGACACGCCAGCTAACTAGTTACAGGCAAAAACACCCTGACACAAACGCAGCTCTTGACTTACCGTTATCTTTTTTACTCATTTCCAACCAGTTCACCTGAACTTTAGCTTTTCCGATTGAGTTTCGCGCAAAATAAGCGTCACGGAAAAGATCGTTTAAAGTTTAAGATGCATCACTCCAGTCCAACTCCGTATTCTGTTCTCGAGTCTGAGCTCTTTTTGGTTGATTTTGGCGCAAAAAATTTTAAACGACAACGTATTGACAGTGTTTCGAGCAATAATTATTTGTCTTAATATTTTTTTATACTACTGTTATGTCTTTAACGATGTCCCGAAAGAAGAGCCGAGTGACAGCTCTGTCGTTTTGGCTGATCTCAGGTCATCCCTGTCATACAGACAGACTGTATAATATGCATACAGGCAATAACATTTTGGCATACAGGGCAAAACTAGTTGACAATGAGGCATATGTCACAGTCCAAATTAAAATCCAGGCGGATTTTAAATCTTCCTAGGTGAGATTGAAATTTTGATTTGGTGTGGACCAAATTAAAATCCTTTTTTATATCATAATGAGATTGTAATTCTGCCTGCATGGGTAAATTTTAAATCTATAACCTCCACACATCACTATGGTTTGAACCTCACATTCTTTAATGCTGTAACCATCAAAGGGTCACACCAACATTTTCATTCAAATACATATGAAGAGGTGTGATACATCTTTTGTCATGTTTAACAGTCACCCAAGCCTGGTAGGAATAGTACATGAATGATTTTAATTTGGTCTAGGTGATATCAATCTTACAATTCTGATTTAATTCAGATTTTTAATTTGGTGTGGTCAAATTTTAACCCAGCCTGGGCAGGTTTACAATCTCAATTTGTTATAAGGATGATTTCAATTTGGTCTAGATGAAATCAAAATTTTAATTCTGCCCTTGACAGATTTTAAAATTTACCCAGGCAGGATTACAATATCATTATGATATTAGAAGGATTTTAATTTGGTCTAGGCGAAATCAAAATTTCAGTTCTGCCCAGGCATATTTAAAATCTGTCTAGACCAAATAAAAATTTTTATCACGCCTAGGCAGATTTAAAATTCGCCTGGATTTTAATTTGGACTGTGACATATATATTGGATTGGAAGTAAACATATATGATCTTCATTGCAGCACAAAAAACATTTTATTAAAAATAATCGGTATTTTCCAGGTTGCCAGTGCATGTATGCTAGTACAGCTAGAATGCTTTCCATTTGTTG